GGAGGACGTGCCTAACTGCTCCGAAGTCCTCGGAGGTAGTCGTGCACGTAGGCCAATCTTTGCGCCTTACTCGGTTTCTCCCAAAACGTTCGGTGTGAGAGTTGACTTCCGAGAGACCGGATGGTGAGCACGTCTCGTAGGTCGCCACTTGGACCTCAATCAGGTCGGCAAGCCCTCAAGGGAGGTCACTCCCTACGTCGAGGTTGCTTAAGCCGATACTGACGAGGTACCACAAGTCGGCCCTGGACGAGGTGCTGCTAGCTACCTTGAGTCGTGGACGAGGTTGCTAGCTAGGTTTCTACTAGGTTGGGGGTGGAGGCAGGTAGCCAGGTTGGTGCTAGAGGCAGGTCGCCAAGTCGGCGGTGGAGGTAGGTCGCCAGGTCGGCAACAGGGGTAGGTCGCCAGGTTAGCGCTAGAGGCAGGTCGCCAGGTTGGCACCAGAGGCAGGTTGCCAGGTCGGCGACAGTGCCAGGTCGCTAGTTGGGACTCCATCATTTTGGCTAAGGCAAGTTGTCGCCTAGGTGGTTCTAGGTGTCACCCAGTTGTTCCGAGATGCCATGTGTCATGATGTTAGTGGAGGGTCAAATCTGCCCTCATCAAATAGAAATAGGGGCTCAGCCCCTATTTTTTTTTTTTTTTTTCTAAATTTTCTTTTCTTTCTTGCTTGTCTTCTCACGAACATGTTGTTTGTTATGTTTTAATATAAAGTTTATACTTTTTAATGAAGATTATAGATAATTACTAGTGAAAGATGGTTGCCGATTGCTATGGAATCTAAGGTATTACCCTAGGAATCATGGTTTTTATTTAGAAAACTCCGACACCTAAGCAACTAGGCGACAAGGCACCCCTTGTCACCTAGTTGGTGTCTTGAAAACTATGCTGTTGAAGTCCCCCTAATTACTCTATTGACCAATGGACTTTCCAACCCAAGAGGTCCCCACCCACCTCCAAAGATGAGAGCCCTGCATATTTACCGCATACCATCAGAATCTACTCCCCTTCCTTACCTTCATAACCATTCTCATTTCTTTTTCCAATGTTCTTCCCATCTCCCAACTAAACTTTCTTCATACTGCATGTTGTACCCTCTATATTGGATTTAGGAACTTCTACTTCTTTCTCTTCTAATACCAAGAACATTTTCTTGGAAATTCTTCACCTCCTAGGAAGAACAAACCATTTTTTTTTTGCTAATCTTTACTTCTTTATGGTCGAATTGGTTCAAGTTATATTTTGATGGTTTAAGTTTCATGAAAATAATTTTTAATTGGTTTATCAGGACTGCAAATATCTGAATGTGTTTGGGTTCTGATTATTCAGATTCAAATCATATCTGAGTAGAGCCAGGATCTTTTTAGTCAAATTAACACTGTACTGGCAATGGTGCCCCATCAAAAAATATGTAAATTTAGAGCTTCTTTCTTTTTTTTCGTTGATGGAAATCAATTTCCTGGATATAGCTGGGCATGGCATCAAGTATGAAATTTGCACTAGAAATCGAAGAATTTGACACGCACCCTTGTACAGGTAAGTGGGTATCATAGTTGGAAATGGTATATCATGCTGTGCAGTAAATACTTCTAATTGGAGATGCAATTTATCCTTTACTTTCTCAATTTCTTGGTATACTTCCAAACTTGTCAGGTAAAAGAAAGAGGTGCATTGGTGTCATCCCAAAGAGGGAGAGATGCACTATCCTTAGATCAGAGTTGCAGAAACTTTTTTTCTTTGGTGATAATCTGGGAGTTAGCAACTCTTTATTGATCCAAGAAATGTAAAAGTAGCTTTTATTGAAGATAGAACTGTACTAAAATGTAATGGTAGAGACATGTACAATGAGAATCTATACAATAGTGAAATTCAAGCAGTCCTAGAAAAGAAGTTAAAAGTATGTAAAAATAGTAATGTTTTTGCACAGAGAGTCATAAGAAAAAAAGGACCAGGGTTCTACGTCCCTGTAATCCTTTAGGATAGAGAGTTGTCAATGCACAAGACCATCTTTCTATGTACTAGATTGGTGAGGCTGCTTTTATTGTTGAAAATCCGGGCACTTCTCTTTGCCCATATTGACTACATGATAGCAAGGTATAATCTTTAAGCCTACTAGACTCGCCATTGCTGCAACATGTCCTTGATAGGTAGTTAGGTACACCAAGTCACCCCAAATAAGCCTAGTAAATGGGCCCAAGGGAGTGTGCTGGACTTGCAGTTTATAAACGAATGGCTAATTGATTCATCTATATTATCATTAGAGAAGAGACGGCTTGAAGCTATTACTATTCCTATTTTCACTGACTTCTTTTACCCTAGATTACTACCCATAACTACAATCTTGGATCAGAGTAGAATGCCAGATCAATTCACGAGGAAAATTCTAGTGCATGTTTGTAAAAAGATGGTAAGGATAAGTAGAACAAGAGGAGATTGTGAGATAGTGCCGGTTTCAGGCAGAAGCAGAATTGTGGAAAATTGTTAACTAAGGGTAAGCTCATCTGCTTTTATTTTATGATGTGGTCCTAACCCTAGAAGCCTAGTGAATTGTAGACTAATTAGTTTGATAGAGTTGGCAAAACAGGGTTTGTGGTAGCTCATATCCTTAGGCATGTCCATAATTTAAGGGAGCTCAAATTTGTCAATCTCCTTATAGAACTTTGACTTTGAATGGTGAACAGAGGAGGTTCTGGATACGAAATGAAAGATAATACGAAATGACCTTGTTTAGTTATTTCGGCCCTCGGCCATTTACAGCCTTTTCTTTCAGTTTCAGGAGTGGATCATGTTTTAAAATTGCAGAAACCCTGAATGATCCTATCATTGCTTTTGCACCGGGATTTTTAGACTATCTTTGGCTATCCAAGGTTTTAAGTAGATACATATTCGACATTATTTTAAGTATCAAGATTTTTAGACATTATTTTTTGTACCATTACAGTATTGATATACGCAATTTTATTCTTTGGCTATCCAATGTTACTGATATTTGGCACAGGTGGAATTGCTAAAACTTTAACTTCGTTTCACTCAAGGATTAAGGCATCGATATCGGGTATCGTACTAGACAGATTTGATGCAAATACGAATACAGATACGTTTTGGAAACACATGGATATGGACGAAAGATATGAAAACATATAGATATGCTAGAAAAATAATACAAATTTCATAAATACATCAATTACAGTAACTTTAAAAAATCAAAATAACCACAAATAAAACATTAATACATAAAAATGTATATTTTAATGATAATGAAATATATTACTAATATAACAAGATACATAAATATCATACAATTTTGTTGATAACATATTAATCAAAAGTTCAAGACTCATATTATATAGTTTTTACAAAATAAAACATGCACAAAGTCATTATTATGTTAAATTTTATTTATAAGTCCAAGACACAAAATATATGCAATTATTATATTCTAATTACTATAGCAATTATTTTTTAATTTTACTTTTTAACATTAACAAAAAAGTCAATTAAATATTAAATTTTAAAATGTTTGATAATATCAAAATTATTTCATATGAAATTTATAATTTTCCTAAGATACATATATTACTACTATTTTTACTTTAATCTTAATTAAAAATAAATCAAAATTATTAAAATTTCTAAGATACATATCATATGAAATTGATAATTTTTAATTACTAAAGTAATGATTCTATTATTAACATTTTTATTTCTATAAATTTTCTAAAATAACAAGTAATTTTTTATATAAATTTAAATTAGTGGATTTGACAAATTTAATTTAATATTATATTTTTGAATATTTTGTAATTTTTGTATTTTATAAATAATAAATATTTTATTTTTTAGTCTATCAATGAATAATTTATAAAAAAATATGTTAAAATTTTAAGATACATATAATGTACAAATTTATGAATTTTAAGTACTAAAATAATTATTCAATTATTTATATTTTTATTTGTCCCACATTGTAGGTTAAAGTGTCCTATCTACGCTCTAACCCCTCTACGACTATACCTACCCTATTCTCTTGGTGGAGAAACCAGACATACCTGAGGCCCGAAGGCATCCAAACTACACATTACATTAGTGTTTTAATAGTGTAGGCAGCCAAGCCCTGAAACTACTTTTCATCTCCATTACCTAATCCATTAGAGTAAGTGGGCTTAGGTGGACATTAGCGAGTTGGTGGATATTTCTTTGATTCACTCTTCGAAGGTTTATTACACCATAAAAGAGAGGACCAATAATTAAGTGGTATTAATCAAAATTCGGGGGGGGGGGGGTGCTTTGATTTCTCCCTTTATGGACGACTGGACCTTAACTTTGAAGGTAAATGATTTTCTCGTAAATGGGTAAGAATGAATAATATTAGTGTTTGGTTTTAAAATTCTCGTCATGAGTCATTCTTTAAATTGAAGTACCTTGTAGCATGAAAAATAATCATGTCCCATTTTGCTCATTTTCATTCTTTAGAGAAACTCTATATTGGCAGTTGTAAACCGCCGGCTTAGGTCTACAAAACTGTTATAGATGTTTATTGGCAGGCTGCCATGGAAACTTGTGCCAATAAACATTGACCTCAGCCATCCACTAGTAAACATGTACTATGCTGACAGTTTTGGAATCCTAGGCCAACAGTTTGACTGAGGGCACAGTTTTTTTGTAGAATGAAAATGAGCAACATATGACACTTGTCAGTCTGAAAAAAATCATATTTAAAGAAAAAAGTGTTTGGTTCATAGCAATATTTTTTCATTCTATGCCCCACATGTACATCTCAGTGTGCATTGGGAACATCTCCCAAAGTTGCCGGTGGGAGATGTTTCCAATACACGGTTAGGATATGCTGTGGGGTGCAAATGTGAATTCCATTTTGACCCAATCTTGTTCATTTTAAAATTTCATCTTGATTAAGAATGAATGAAAAAAGAATGAAAATTGAACCAAACATGGCTTAAGCGACTCATTGGTGCTCTTCCATATTCGGCCCTCATAGATTGAGGCTGGGGTGAGGGTCAAGGCTTTGGTTGTTTTATATGCCCTGCTTTCGTACTGGCTGCATTCAAAGTTAGACCAGGTTTGCAACAGAAGTTTTTTTACCTACATCATGGTTTGCAACACGATGCATACAGAAAACAGGCGTATCAATTCATGATAGGTTACCAACCCACTGTGTATGATTTGATTGTCTTCAGCCAATCCCGACTCAAGATGGAATCCATCTACACTATGGTTTTGGGTGAGAAATGCAAACCCAATTGGCATGGTTTCAGTATTCTCATTGGTTCCTGGACTCATTTCCACAATTTGGACATTAGATTAAGACCCAAATCGCATGGAGAATAGTCAAAACCATGATCCACACCCAGTTCAACTATGTTCGTACCTATTAAAATTAGATGCCATAAAAGTCAGCGTGGACCAGAAGAATTTAGCCCATGTGATTTTAATGAGTTTAATTAGATGGTTCCAACTTCCAAGGCTACAGAGAAGCCCATTTGATGGTGGGTCCTTATCCTCTGAAGATGAGAGACATCGAAAGTTATGAAGGCCCCACCATGAACCAGCTAAAATCACGAGGGAAAAAGATTGTTAGTTGAAGTAGTAAAAAGGTAACAACATTGAAGAGTAGTAGTAACTAACAACACTCAACACATTTTCTGTTCTTGGACCTTTCCTTTGATATTCTTACTTGATGCCTGATAACAAAAGCATGGAACCATATAAGATTGCTACTTATTAATTTACTAGTAATATTTCTGTCAGTTAATTAATTGTAGATTTTATCATCTGAAAATTGGGTTCGTCATTTGCCAATGGGCCTTCAGACCCAGTAGGATGTTCAATTAAGATGCTCACTGGGTTGGGCTTTGGATATTGTCAATTGATCAATTCCCCTCTCTGATTTTGTAAACTTGCAACCCACCATGGACATGGTTCATCCAGAAACGTTCATTATCCACCCGAAACTCCCCTTGCTCTTGGTTCGCAAATCAAATTGATCCAAATCCCAGCATGTGTTCATCCAAATCACCAATTAAGTCGATTGGAATGGTGCTACATGCGTAACGATGCACTGAAGATAATGGCCCACAAATCCACCCATTTGTTCGCTTAATTAAAAATAAATTACATGTGATCAAAGTCTAAAACATGTACAAGAAGCAAAGTATGAAGGGTAGGAGGAGAGGGAGGATTTGGGGTTTTGGTCTTATCAGCTTTGTTTCATTCTCAAGGTACGCAGCCGATGTTATATATATCGTTGAAGAGCAACGTAAGATTCCAAAGCGAATAAATCTTAACGAAATATATTGGCCACTTGGGCACGGCAGTCGGCAGTCGGCAGTCGGCAGCGGCTAACAAAAACGGAGTCGTCCAGAGTCCAAAGTCCAAATTGGAGAATGAAAGCTCACCTAACAACTAACTAGTTCAAGTCCTAATCCTATTAAAGTTGTTTAAAGCATATTATGTGACATGCGATTTACATGATACCCTCCTTTCCTTCACTACTTTTGAATACATGCTCTCTCTGGAAGCCTTACAATATTAATATTACCAACTTTAATATGCAAAACACAGTTTATTTACATTCCGCACATAATAAGGGAGGGGAAAAGGAGAAGTAACATGTTGTTTCATGATGAACAAAGGATTTTGCCATCACAAATCTCGTGGTAAATCTTATAGGATGATTCCTAGTAAAAAACTAATAAAATTAACAAGGAGGCACGACACATCCATTACCATAAGTTCTTTCTTTTTTCGGAAAGAAGTCCATTACCATAAGATGCATGGTTATTCACATTGGCAACCACACATTCAATTTGCTTTCTTTTTGGTTGAAGAAAACACTTTTTTTTTTTTTTGTTTTTGTTTTTGTTGCCAATATATACAAACAACCAAACAAAACCCATATGGTATTGTTC